CATCAGATTGATCTATTGTACTAGCTTGTAGAACTCCTTGGAGCAATGCATGCTTTATAGTTTAAACTTATAGCAAGGAGTGTATTAAATTCCACTTTTGGAAAGTGGATGTATTTTTCCCTTGTGATGCTCCATTTAGAACCTTTTGAGAAATACTTTTTACCTTGAATATATATTCATGGCAAGGGTCACTATCACATGAAATGCAAACTGCTCATCAGGAATTGAGGTATCTTTAAATGAATTACTTCTTGTTTAGTAGGTTGCTGCTCTTATTCAATTTCATGGTGTACCATGTGCTTTGGGAAAGGTTTGGATACTTATTTTTGTTCATATTCCCCATTGAAGGATTTACTTGACCTTAGCCCTCTAGAAAACATATTTCCTAGTATTGTTAGTTGGACTTTGTAAATCCTAATAGTGAAACTCAACAATATCATGATCCCCCTCGCCGCTCTCATTACTGCTAGCATTGTTAGTCGAATTAATGTCAAATTCTAAATTGTCTTGCATATCTTCATAGTATTCAAATATTAATTTATATAAAAAGTTGTTTCAATTTTTTTTGTAAGATAAATGTATGTAATATAATAGTATACACTTAATCTAAGTTTTTTTATTTTTTTTCAATTTTTTTTTAAATTTTTTTTGATGTTTTTTACCTTTTTTTGTTAAAAAAAACTACTTGACCGGTTAAAACGGTTAACCGCCCCGGTTAGTCCGGTTCTAGTTCAAACCGCTCCCAGCCCCAAAACCGGTTAACCGTTCCGGTTCGATTTTGCGAACATTGATATCAACAAAGACCCATATTTGAATTTGATCACAAAAAGGGTGATTTATGAACATTTGGAGGTCTTTGTAGGCCACTCAATTGTTAATATTTTGGAATTTAGCCAGTGAATTAGGCGATTGCAAAAACTTTCTTTCCCTGCATTGCATGTTGTCCATCTACTTACATAAAGATACACGAAGTTGTAAAATGAATGATAAACTTCTAAGCATGTCAAGAAGTTTGTTCAGGAGCACTCTGATATACTGATTTCCAAGAAGATTGTGCACTAAGAGTGATCCAATGACTTCATAGTAGAGAGGGATTTGTCGACAGAATCTTAGATCATCTGTTTGATATTGAAACCATACTTGCCATAAAAAGTTTGGCCTGGATCGAAGTTGATTTAGGACAATGACATTATTTGGGAAATAGAGTGATAGGAAGTGGGGCCCGTGGCCGTTTCTCACTATGTGTGCTGAATAATTACAATTGGATGGAATACTCTCATAGAAATGACGGAATCTATATGTTGCACACGATAAATAAATGATGACTCATTGTCCCAAGATGCATTAATCACACCAATACTTCTCAAGCTAGAGCATTGACACCAGTCATACTCAACTTGGCAACTTTATGACCTTGTTCAAGGGCTTATATGAACATATACACAAGCTGGTTCTTTTAGTTTGCATGAGGGGGGTGTGCTTCTTTGGCGACCATCCCTTCCCTCACAAAGTGTCAATTAATCTCTTCGTTGCCCCCAAGAAAGGTGCAATACCTAATGGTCAGGCGTACAATGTGACCAGCGTAGTGAACATCAGAGAAAGCATGAGGTCTGCTACAACATGTGGACTGTTTCTACATTAGGTCTTGTAATAGCATGTGAGAACTGACTAATTATGACTACAACATGTGCCAGTTCACTTTGACTGAAAATGAAGTGAATGACCTTTTCCACCAGTGTTGCTTGCCCTTAGTCCTTCATTGGTTCTCCCTTAATTGGATCCAGGTGCCTCAATAGGGAAGCGAAATGGTATTACACCCATTTCCTCCTTTTGTATAGAAGACCAAATGTGTACTTCTGTATGACACATGAAATGCTTTATCCCCTTTCAATGCGTGGGAAATGCTTGAACAACATAGTGCAAAAACAAAGTACTTTAGAAACGCAGGACTGTAAAGATTGAACATGTTCTTTATGTTCTCCTTCTGTTATTGGATTCCTTAGCATCCTTTTCCATGATAAAATTTCATACAAAACTATTTCCCCCCCAAAAAAAAGGAAAAAAGAAGAAATGCGCGACCAGGAAGAACAATTGCCCTTTCGTTCCTTTTGTCTGCCGACATTAAGAAGTCATTAGGCCCTCCTCCTAAAACTATTCCAGTTTTCCATCTGCCCTTTTAAAGTCTATTTGAGCTTTGCACGCTTTTGCCTGTCCACCTATTGTACAAAACCATTTACACTTTGTACTGCAAGCTGGAGGTAAGAAGGGCTTGTGATATGTTGCTAAAAAGAGGCTAGTTCTCATTCAATGCCTTCTCTAATGGAAATCATCTGTTCCATAGGGCAATCGTCTGTATGTAATCCGTCTCATATTTGTGAGTGAAACCCTTAGCCACAACTTGAGTTTTGTAACTCTCAATAGAACCATCATGAGATATGAAAAGAAAGGTGTCCACCTGCTTGCAACCAAGTGGACGTTAACCTCTTGGTGCTGTGGCTATGCCAGGTTCCATTTTTCTTTAGATGTTGCATTTCTTCAGCTTTTCCTCACTTGAGGTATGACAATATCTCTTCAAGGCTAGCATGAAGCACTATATAGGAAGGGCACCATGCATGACAGGAAACAAACAGTTGCATTGGATGATTGGTACAAGACCTTTCTTTTATAAAATCAGTGGCAAGTTTAGGTTAAGTCTTGATAACACAACTGTTTTTCTACTCCTTGACCTGATGGATCTTGACCTTAACCCTGTTTGATTAGTGGCATGGAGCTCCTTTTCCTTAATTGACCATATCTTCAAATCCAAAGGAAGGCCCCTGCACTTTCCTCCCTTGGACATATTTGAAAATTATAGACATAATATTCTCTGCACGAAATCAAACTCACATGATGAGGTCAATTAAACAAAAAGAAAAAGAGGCTATAACTGTAACATATTTAGAAGGAAGTTTATTTTCTATTCTAATCTTGCAAGTTTCCTTATTGAAACTGAAATAGCTTTGTTTCATTGATTATAGAACATCAAATCAAACCGTAAATAGAAAATATGACAGACTACCAGATTGGGTTAATCTCAAGGGCACATGACAATCACCAAAGTCCTCTGGAATTATATCATGTAAAAACAACATGAACTTGTTGACTGTACATTAGACTCTCTCAACTGCATTCCTTGGGTTGTATTATTTGGAATTCAAATTATTATAACTGCTGTTCTTTGGATTCTTACAACTAATATTTTCTATTTGAGAGGTGAAATTGACATGAATAAGATTGATCCAAAGTAGGGCCTAGTCTTTATGAAAAAGAAGTAAAGCCTCTCCTCGAATCCCAGTCTGGAAAGCATTTTGGGCATCAGAAATCTCCATGATGGCTCTAAAATCAATTTTCAACACTGACTATGAAATTTGAAGCTCAAAAAATGGTACAGATCTTGCAGATCCATGAATGCTTATTTTTAGGACAAAATGGACGGTCTAGATAATGTTTTATAATTTACACTACTTTTAGGGCTTGAAATCCTAATTTTTTTTCACAACCATATTGGTCGAGGCCGAGACAATCGATTTGACAGTTTTCCGATGGCAGAACTACAATTTTTGTGAGTTTTGAAGTGAGGATTTAGTTATTTTGATAGGCTTTCAGCCCTATCAAAACATTTTCCATTATATACATATTGTATGGACCTCTGAATTTGAAAGAATATTACTGAGTAGGACCACTGAGATGCTAGGATTGTGACTGGAGTTGAATACTGAACAACTATGAACATAGGTGAAGGGCACTAATTCTTATTCCAGAGTTGTGGCATGCTTGAGCCTAGAAATAAAGTTACAACTGTGAGAATCATCTATGCACATTGCCAAGTATTAGAAAATGTAAATCTATAAAGAGGGACCTTATGCCCATGATACATCAAGGATGACCATTTGATATTTATGTGGATGCCAGTATAGCTGAGTATAATAACCTGATCTAGACATTATAACATTGGATCTGGAAACAATGGAACAGGAAAACTGTGGCATTTGAAACAGAACAAGGGCTGATAAAGCCACTACCCTGGACCCCAACGGTCGACCTACCCAATTCTAGATCTTGACCTGAGCATTAGACCTGATGAGGTGGGTCTGGGTCCTCTTGACTTGGAGCTGACCTTGATTGGATCCGGGTCCGGTCTAGCGTGGACCATATCAGATTAGGTTGGGCTTGGGTCTTGGTCGATCCTGGTACATGTATATATAATATATATGAACCATATGTAACTTATATATTAAGAAATGTATGGGAAAGTGTAGCTTCCACATCACGTGGATGATTGAAGGGTGCATAAGCATCCTCCCAATGTTTTATATTAGATGAAAAGAAAATGGATGGTTATGATTTTTTGTAATATTTGATTTATTACATTTTTTTTCTATGATTTTGATTAATTTGTAATTTTGGGTGTCCATAATCCTCAATCAGGTGCACCTAAAAGAAATATAAAAAAATAATTCGCAGAAACTGAATTGACCAATATCCCCTGAATGTTTCAAGTGTATATTTATCTTTGAAATATTTCTTTTTATTTTTTTAGGTGTGCCTAAATGTGGCACAAACACCTTTGAAATTTGAGGTCGATCTAGTTAGTGGAAAAAATTAAAATTAAGATACTATATTAACTCATGGTCATCTATGTTGTCCTTCTAATTTTGAGCTGTTGAAGGGTGGTTGAGCACCCTTTTAGTGTCCACATGGTATGGATGCTATACTATCCCAAACAATATCATATCTTTATGTACATTGTGTCATCATCATCATCGTCATAGCCTTTTCACAATTAATTGTGGTCGGCTACATGAATCTTGGTCCGCCATTCTCCTCTGTTTAAGGGCATAGCCTCAATCAGGCCATAAGTCCCAATAGATTTTCGGACTACTTCCAACCGTGTCCTTTTGGGCCTACCCCTTGCCCTTTTCAATCCTTCCACTTAAACTAACTCGCACCTCCTAACAGGTGCTGTACTCGGCCTGGCCCACTTGGTCGGGTCCTGGTCCAATTGACTTGGACCTGATTTGGGCATGGTTCTCACCTAGAAACCCGTCGAGTCAGGGTCGAGCCAAACTAATACTTACCTACAACAACCTTGTTGAGTTGGAGTGATGACCCTATTCTTTCTAGCAATAGTTGTGGCTATTAATAGTTGAGCTTATTACTTTCTTATTTTGTGGTCCTACATTTTGTATCAAGTGTTGACTAAATTCACTTTGGAGGCTTCTTTTGTTTGGTCGGGCAAGGGAAGTGTTTTGGTACTTTGGCCGATTTGGTGGACGAGTTTGTTGGTTTGGTTTGGTTTTGTTTGTTTGTTTGTTTTTAATTTTATTTAAAATAAGAATTATATAGAAAAGACAAAAATAGAAACAAAAAGAAGAAGTAAAGACTAAAAATTTAAAGTTCTAAGCAAAATATGGAAATTTTGTTCCACAAGTTTGACATCTAAAACTAGACTTTCATTACTTATAGTATTAAATGCGTGTGATCAAGCCATTAACCTTGCACAAGCCATAATTATAAAGAATCATGGTCTCCCACTTTCATCATTTCGTGTTTGCCATAACCATGAAAAGTTAAATTTGTAACCATCTACCATTTTACATTGTGGCCAGGGTTTCGTAGTCAAAAAATGAAAGAACCCTAAAAAGATTGTGAGAGTTATTTTTTTAACCTTATAATTTTTAGTGACGAGCCATTTTAGCATTTTATATCCTTTACAATATTTTCTCCTTTAATTTTTGCTTAAAATTGCCCACAATAAATAATCTAATATAAAATTTACCCTGCTGTGATTCAGCTGAAGAGGCCAAAGACGCCCTTTCTTCGGCTGAAGCTAGGCAAAGAGGTGGAAGGTGCAGGAATCAACCTGAAGCAATATATCTGAAGCAAAGTGAATCTGATAACAAGGAACTAAAACATATTGGCAATTTAGATATAAATCAATGGAACGCCTCTGAAATTAGTTTCTTATTGAGTGCAACACTTGCTTCCATGTGCCAATTGAGTTGCACTGGATATCTGATCATCTTATTGAACTTTATTTCAGCATCCCAATTTTTTTTAGTAATCTTCTCATAGGATTAGTGAAAATCAAAACAAATTCACATCTCTTAAAATTTGCAAATTCCATGCCAAATGTGAATTTTATTTAAACTAGTTTAAACTATTCCTTCCTTTTAGGGCTTTGGTGCCATATCTGCTTACTAATCAGATAAAAAACAAGACACCAGAAAGGAGTCTGATGAACACCCAGCTAAACAACTTAAATTTAGCATGCAGTTTAATCAGGTTTGAGTTTGAGAAATGAGAAAAATCTTGAAAGGAGGAATCTTGTGCTACATCTGATTTCTGGTTTTAAAGGCCCCAAGATTAATATGCAGTATTAATGGATGTAAAAACCAGAACTTCCTATTAGGATGCAAAAAATCTTGAAATTAATTTGTTGATGAGCTGTATATCTCATGAATCCTCTCTTTCTATGGTGCCTCTTCTCTAGAAAGAAGTCAATTGCAAGAAAGAGATGTAGACTAGAAGTATTACGTGGTTTAAGAGAGAGATCCTTAGGGTTCTATTTTTTTTGCATTTAACGTTGGAACGCTACCCTTTGAGTGAAACATCGATTTTTAATGAGATTTATTTTTTGGTGAAAGGAGACTTTTGTTTTGGTGAGAGCTTTTTTTTCTATGAATGAAGAGAGTGCTTCTTTGGGAAGCATAGAGATCCTTCTTCTCTTTTCTTGATGTACAGCTACTTGCTTTTCTCCTTGTATTAATGAATTATGTTTGTTTAAAGAATAAAAAAGTAGGGTTTAACTTCCCACCCTCCTTTACATCAAAAGTTACTACAACTTGATATATTGGAGCAACGTTCTTTTTTTTTTTTTGCCCTTTTCTTGATCTAATTTGGATGACAAAGTTTCTTCTGCTAGAAATCATGGAAGTCCACTTCTGTCATAAATATGCAGGTGTGAATCATTCTCAACCTATCCTCGCACATATGATCTTCTCCATGCTTGGAACATAATCTCGGACATTGAGAGACATGGATGTAGTATTGAAGACCTACTGATTGAAATGGATCGGATTTTGCGGCCTCTTGGGTTTGTCATAATAAGAGACAAGGCATCGGTCGTGAACTATGTCCGTAAGGTTTTACCGGCCCTTCGGTGGGATAAATGGGTCTCAGAAGTGGAGCCAAGTGTAGATGCTCTTTCTTTTGGAGAAGAAAGAGTTCTAATTGCAAGAAAGAAACTATGGAAAATTAACGATGTTGATGAATGGTGAGATCCCCTTTTTTTGAGCTATAGTCAGTCTTTTGCTGCTTAGCAGTTCTGTATATTAAAGGAGTGGGGGCTAAGCTCTGTCTCCTTTATCTTTTTCTGTACTAGTTTCTCAATTGGATCAACATAGTTTCTTCTTTTGGGTAAGTTTGGATGTAGGTTATCTGTAATTATCTCATGTTTCTATTGGTATTCGAGTTTATGTAGCAGGTTTTAAATCAGATTTTTAATGTGATTTTGTATGATTCTTGTGCTTGATGAAATTTGTGGTTATTAGAACTACACATGTTTTTTCTTTTCAAGAAAAATTCAGTTGCTCGTCGGAGTGATTAGGGTCCCATGGCTGCATGACATGTCCAAAATTCAATTCCCAGCTTACCAATGGCTAAGTAGACTAATGGTCACCTTCCAATACATGTTGTCTTAATTGCTGTATAAATCCTTTGTTAAAAGTTGAGTCATGGTATTAAAATGGGCGTTTGAATGTACGGTTTAATGGGTTATGTGGATTTTATTTTCAAATATTGCCTTTTATTGGCTTTCTTTTCTGTCATGCCGATGCTTATCGGGCTGTAACTGTAAACACTGTTATAATGTGAGAACCCTGTTTCTTAAACCCTGATTTCAGCCACTGTTACATGTATTTTGGGAGTCATTATCATATTCAGTCTTCTGAGTACATAAAATGATCCCCCCAAAATTATGTAAGATTTTGACAACTTCCAAAGAATAATAGAGAAAACGACATCTGAAAATCTTGCTCGATCAAAATTTCAGATATCCAGTGGATCCCCACTTGACCTTCCCAAATAAAACAACAATCAATTAACCATTTTGAAATGCGCAGCAATTCATCTGTCTCCCAATTGCCTGCCCCTTGCAAATGAAATCGTAAATGTATTTTTCTCAAAACGCGAATGGTGACCTGTTGGGTTTTTTATTGCATTATCAAAGCAATTCAATCATTTTGTAATTTGGGGTGGTTTGACTGCTTTTTAATTTTTGATAGCTCGATCGGATATGCAGCTTTAGGTTGTTTGGCTATCCTTTGCATGTTCTAGATTATTTTAAGCAAATGTACATCTAGGACTCATATATGTAATGTTGTTGACTTGCAGATCTAGTGAAGTAAAAAAAGAGAACAATGAAGACATGTGACTCATATGTAATGTTGTTGATACATATATCTATTGAAGCGAGAAAGAGAGAAAAATGAAGAGATGTCTGAGTTTTTGCCATTATTTATACCTATTTTTTATTAATACTTTTAGAATAAGATTCTTATGAGGAAAATTGCATTACATAGGAAAGTAAATTGCTAGATATTTTATGAAACCAAATAATATAAAAAAGTAAAAAGGATAGGAACTGTAAAATACAATGGTAAAAGTTCTCTCTCATACCTGGGAGAGGTGTAAAATACAATGGTAAAAGTTCTCTCTCACACTTGGGAGAGGTGTATTGCTGAGTTTTATGGGAAGATGGTAAAAGTTTCCACTCTCACACTTGGGAGAGCTGTATTGCTGAGTTTTTATATTAGAAGTTACCTCTCAACTGTTTACAACAATGTTTAGAAACCTGGATTGGTAGGGTGAACCAGCCATCTTAAAAATCAGTTTGGATCGGTGAATCGTCGATCTAGATTGGTTATCTGGCCAAGAGAATCAGCAAATAGAAAAAAAAAAAATTGATAACAAAAATAAGAAATTGAAAAAAAAAGCATAAAAAACATGGGAACTGGTCAATCTGGTTTCCTGGTTACCTGATAAAACCGGCCATTTTTTGTAGAAACGATCGGTTGTGTCGGGAACTTGTCGATTCCTGATTCAGAGAATTGGATCGATTCTCATCAATTCATGATCCAAATCAGTCGATTCCAATCTGGATTGGCATTTTTTCAAACGCTAGTTTATAGTAAAACTTATAAACTCAACTACATACAACATGATGCTTATCATATCAACCATACAAAATGATAACAACCCCAATGCAGAGAGCAACGGGAAGAGCATAGTAACTCAAGGACACTGTCTCTCAATATGCCCCCCTCAAGTGAATTGTCCAATCATCGATAGTAAGCTTGTCGCATAAGTAATTAAATCGAACAGCACTAAGTCCCTTGGTGATATCGGGGGTTGGTGATATTGGGGATTTGAGCACGAGTGCTCATATAATGAACATCACGGTCATTATGAGCCACCTTTTCTCAGACAAAATGATAAATTTCAAAATTTTTTGCCTGTGCATGAAAGGTTGGGTTGGTGGTCATATGTGTAGCACTGATATTATTCCAGCATACGGTGGGAGACTGTTTAAGAAGGGCTTCTAGACACTTCATACCGTTAATGAGATTGCATCCATGTAATTTTTGTTGATGTGTTGGCTAGAGCAAGGTATTCGGACTTAGCATTAGATATTGGTTTCTAGAAATATAAAGTGGCCAGCAGTGGACTGTCGATCATATAGACATTTGGCCCAGGCAGCATATGGAAAGGCAATATGTCAAAGAGGGGAGGAATATCCAAGAAACAACCCATAGGATACAGTGTTCTTAACATAGTGCAAAATGCGTTTCACTGCAGACCAATGATCAGAAGTGGGCGAATACAAAAACTGGCAGACATGATTGGTAGAGAAGGCAATGTCTGGTTATGTAAGGGTGGGATACTGCAGGGTGCCAACAAAATGGCGATATTCAGAGGCCTCTGAAAGAGGATTTCGTGAGAAGCGAGATAACTTGAGGCCAATAGTGATAAGTGTGTTGTTTGGTTTTGCACCATCCATTTGTGTTTGTTTAAGGAGGTCCTAAAATGTATTTGCTTTGAGAGAGAAATAGATCATTGGAGGCATTGAACCTCGAAACAAGGAGACCAGGTCTTTCATGGAAAATTTGGAATCAGTCTCAAAAAGAGGGATTTAATTTTTGAGGAGCTATTGCCGGTGACGATGATATCATCGACATATACCAAAATAATCAGAATGGTAAAAAGAGAAGAGTCAGCTTTGGATCCAAGAAAGCCCTATTCCGTCAACTAGGAGTTGGACCATTGAAACTGGGTCCGTGGATCCTGTTTAAGCCCATACAGGGCCTTGTGAAGTTTGCAGATGTAAGAGGGAGATTGTGAAACTACAAAGCTTAGAGATTGCTGCATGCATACCTCTTGTACCATGGAGAAAAGCATTTTGCAAATCTAGTTGTGAAATGGGCCACTCATTAGAGACGGTCAAAGACAACACTGTTCAAATTGTAGTAGGTTTCATCACTGGGCTAAATATATCTCCATAGTCAAGATCCGCTTGCTGATGAAATCCTTTGTAACAAGGCAAGTTTTATAACGATCAAGCCACCCATCATCCTGCCTCTTGAGTTTGAAAACCCATTACATCCAACAAATATTCATGTTGGTTTTAAGTAAGACAAGTGACCACGTACGATTTGGGATGCCAACATTGAATTCATCTGCCAAGTACGATTTGGGACGCCAACATCAAATTCATCTGCCATAGCGTTGCACCAGTTTGGGTTTTTGTTAGCTTCAGTAAAGCATGAGGGTTCAGCTCGACTGGTGCAGTTGGGATATGTTGTGGAGCAGAAGATGAGAGGGGATCCATAGTAGGTGGTATAGGAGCATCAGGCTGTGAGACTACTAGTTTGCCCTCCTCAGGAAGGCTTGAAGGAACATAGGCGTGTCACTAGGTGAAAGAGAGGCACCACTGTCAGATGGATTTGAATATGAGGGCAGGCACAATGGGTGTAGCAGTTGTCATGGCTACTAGTGTTGGGTAGGTTACAATGGGATCCAATAACAGGAACTGGGCATGCATCTAGTTGATGGTTGGAAATAAAAATTTCCGCGATAGACTAGCCTTAAGTCCTATGAAGACGCACTGTGTGGACTGGAAATCAAGCTTATTTGAAGTATTTGGCTGCAGATATGGATAGCACACACAGTCAAAGGTGTAAGAAGGAATAATCCGATTTCTTGTGAAAACGTTATTCTCATGGAGACTGATTAAAGATAACCCAAATGGTAGCCAATTTATCTAAAAAACCGCTGATTGAAATGCTTCATCCCAATAGTGCATGGGCACTCGTGGGTCATGAGAGAGAAAGTGGTTTCCACTATGTGCCTATGTTTTCGCTCAGTAGGACCATTATGTTCGGGAGTATGTAGACACGAAATCCGATGTGAAAATCCATTATTAGCACAGAGAAAAATCCTAAAGTATATTCACCAGCCCCTTTGGTTTGAAGCAATTTTATTTTATGGCCAAACAGACCTTTCCCGGAAAATTCAAAGCTTATAAACACATCAAAGGCATGTGATTTTTGATGAAGGGGAAAAACCCATATAAACTTGCTAAAATCATCCACAAAATGTATTATATCAATTGAGTGAATGCATAAGAGGGGCCCCAAATGTCTGAATACACTAATTCAAGAGGAGCGTTGGCTAAAGAGGGAGAGGAAGCCGCTTACTCTTGGCCATCTGGCATGAGGAGCAAATAGACGATGCAGTGGATCCGAGGACATTTATGTATAGAGAGAAGTAGCGGGTTTTAGTCTCACTTGGAGAATGAAAAGAAGAGTATTACTTTGTTTTTTTTTTTTATTGTGTTCTAAAAACCAAAGAGAGAAAAGGCGGAAAGCGCGCAACACCTGCCCAGCTAGGAGAAGGATAGTGGGTTTTTGGAGGAGGAACAATTTCATTAATTTGCCTCACTCCACCGGTGCACATTTGGATTCACGGATAAGTGGTAGATAGTGTTACTCTCATTGGGATGAACAATTGAGTTGTGAACGTGGTTGTGGATTTTGTCACAATGGTTAAGTTTTTGAAAACCAAAACGCCTCATGAATCATAGCTATTGTTCAGTATCTAGCGGCATGTGGGTGGTAAACTTGTAATTGGTAAGCCATTTAAAGATGGTTAAAGTCAAGAATCGAAGCGTTACCAGAGTTCGCAAACTCGGTCGGTCTAACTTGGAATTGGTAGATCCAATCAGAACCGATTTTTGGTCGATCTGGTTTTGTTTGATTTTGGTGGTCCGGTCTGATATTTTTTTTAAAAAAAAAAATTAAAAAAAAAAAATAAAAAAATAAAAAAAAAATAAAAAAATAAAATAAATAAATATATATATATATATATATATATATATATATATATATATAATTAAATAAATAATAGTATATATTGTTNTTATTAGTTTATTTTCTTAGTGTGGTGGAGCGAGACACGAGAGTAG